TTCTATATCCTGTTAGTTCCTATTGCAAGTGTGACATTGTAGATGTTCTGCTAGCAATTGGACTTTATTACACCAAAGTCGAAGTAAAATGGTTTGATTGAACCAAATAATAATATGATGGCTTAATTGCACATTCGAGGAAAGTTTGAGGTCCTTTTCATGCTATATAATTGTGCATTAGGCTATAATTTGATTCTTCTATTAAGTATTATAACCATTCTAGATAGTCTTATAACCATAGTAGATACTAAATGGTAGCTATTGTAGATGTCATTTGTTCAAGGCATCTTCTTGCTTATTCATTTCTGAAAGGATGAACTACATTGCAGCTATTTCTCCCTAATTTATTTAGCATTTCAGGTTGTTCCAAGGAAGCGCTTTAATGATGTTGTGATGAAAAATGGTGTTGGTTTGACTTTTGCATGTATGGCAATGACATCTGCTGTTGATGGTCCAGTTGATGAGACTAATCTGACTGGGACGGGTGAGATCAGACTGATGCCTGATCTATCAACTAGGAGGGAAATTCCATGGTACTGTGAAATAAATATCTGCTTTATCACTATGTGAAATATTTCTATCTGCATCTTTAACACCTTCACATTTTTTACATGCATTCATATCATTCCATATTCCTTCTTATCTGCCAGATCTTTGATGGTGATCATACCAACATCATTGTGATCATCATAGCTACTAATGCTAATTTTTCATCATTCCTTTAAAATAATGTTGGTACCCTCTTCCTCAATAGGAAAAAACAGGAGGAGATGGTTTTGGTTGACATGCACCTTAAACCTGGTGAAGCATGGGAATACTGCCCAAGGGAGGCCTTACGAAGGGTTTCAAAAGTTTTAAAAGATGAGTTCAACTTGGTACGTCAGGTAGTCTGTCATACATGTAATAGTGGAGTATTTCATACTTAACTAATGAATTCTTTATCTGCAGGTAATGAATGCGGGATTTGAAAATGAATTTTATCTCTTGAAAAAGCTAGAAAGGTGGGTGACATATGCAGGTTTATTCCTTAGCGTTGTTTTAGCAATCTTAGGCTCTGCACAATTATAATGAAATTCTAATCTTGAAATCATGCAGAGAGGGGAAAGAGGAGTGGGTGCCAATTGACTCAAAACCTTACTGCTCCTCTTCTGGATTCGATGCTGTCTCCACTTTATTTCAAGAAATTGTTGCAACTCTAAATTCCTTGAATGTTGCTGTTGAGCAGGTACAAATGAGAAGTAACATATTCTTGATATTTACTTTCATTGGAGGCACTCTCAATTAAACTGATACAGTGTGTGGCTCAGTCATTAACTTTATATTTATCTGACAATTAATTTGTCTTCGTTACATCAGATATTTGGTTGAGCATCTTCTTTAAGAAACAACATAATCCAAGATAAGAGTAAACATGCAGAGATCAACTTTGACTTTGCCTAAGTAACCTTTTCAGGTGTAAACATGCAGAGATCAACTTTGACTTTGCCTAAGTAACCTTTTCAGGTATTCTTTTTGTGTGAGTGCATGCAATATACAGGATCACAGAAATTGTTCATGTAGCTGATTCCAAATCAAAAAATCTCTCGTTATGCATTATCCTTTTCTAAAATGAAATAAATTTTGAAAACATTAAATTCGTCTCTTTTCCCGCAAGTGGCTAGAGACAAAGATCTACTAATTGAACCCCTTTTATGAGTTGTCTAGCTTGCAGAAAACAACCATGACCTATCATCATCAGTAATGGATCACTAGGATAACTCTAAATAATGGCATACACAGCTATTATGTAATAATTGTCTATGAGATTTTTTTCCATTTTCTCAGTTATGTAAGTTTCTATCAGAACAACAACAGTTCAATTCCTATTTAACTCCAGTGGTTTTTTTTTCTCAGTGGAGAAGGCCATCATTTTCTCTGCTGTCCTCTCTCCTTCCCGTGTATGCTTCTATAATGTGCTTCTTAGGAAGTGCAAGTTTGAGTGTTAACTGCTTCTGTTAACTTACTTTAGCTTTTAAAATTTGCAGTTGCATGCAGAAGCTGGAAAAGGTCAGTATGAAATGGCTCTGGGGCACAATGCTTGTACATATGCTGCTGACAATTTGATTTTTACACGCGAAGCTGTTAGGGCTATTGCAAATAAACATGGGCTGTTGGCAACATTTGTCCCGAAGTAAGTTGTAACTTTTTCTTATTTTAACCAATGCTTTTAATCCTTGTCCTCTTGGCTCATGGTCTGGGTCCCTAGTTTCTGATATTGGGGGATAAGCATCTACCAATGGAAAGACTTGCTGATTTGAGAATGATGAAACCTTGTCCATGCAAGGCTGGCCACCCACTATGGCTAAATTATTTCCTTTTTTTTTCACTTTTGGCGTGAATGAAATTTAAATGGTTCATTCAAATATTTATTTTGTTTTATAGTGGTATTGTAGATGAGGGATTTATTTATTTCTGTATGAATAAAATACTAATTATTCTAGAATATTCCAACTGCCTAATTGAATCTAATTAGTTATACAATAACAAATAGATATTTATGGGAGGACTATTTTTCTAATCATTTGAGCTAAATTTCTTGTTAAACGTGCAAGTCAATGCTGCAGGTTTTCATGCATGTCCTTTTAGTGTTAGAAACTTAAAATACCCAACATTTTTAACGGTATTTCTCTACCCAGGTATGCTTTGGATGACATAGGTTCTGGATCCCATGTGCATCTCAGTTTATGGCAGAATGGACAAAATGTTTTTCAAGCATCAGATGCATCTTCCCGGCATGGAATGTCTAAAGTTGGGAAGGAGTTCATGGCAGGGGTTTTAGATCATCTTCCTTCAATTTTGGCATTCACAGCACCAATTCCAAATAGGTTTATTTTCTACTTCCAAATAATTATTTATTTTATTTTGGATAATCAATTCTTAGCTGCTTGTGCTAAAATTACTTCAATGCATTCATATATACAATGCCCACCCAGTCAAACAATAGATTAAAATGCAGAAATTTAGTTTGTAATAAATCTACATTTTCACAGTGGTATCTACTTAGATCCTGCTTCAACTTTTATTTGTCTTTAGTTATGATCGCATACAACCCAATACATGGAGTGGAGCGTATCAGTGCTGGGGAAAAGAAAACAGAGAAGCACCTTTAAGAACTGCATGCCCACCTGGGATCCCAAATGGTTTCGTGAGCAACTTTGAGATTAAATCTTTTGATGGATGTGCAAATCCTCACTTGGGATTGGCTGCTATAATTGCTGCTGGAATTGATGGCCTAAGGAGGCATCTTCATCTGCCTGAACCTATTGGTAAGATTGCATTATTTTTGTATTTATTAAATTTGCTAACAAATTATTGAAGAACTTGAATTCATCTGAACATTTGTACTTCATGGTTAGTTGACATTCAGAAATAAATAAATTTAACTGAATAAATTAACTTTATTATGGGCTTCCTTTCATCCATGTTAACAGTTATGCATAATAATATTTTGCATTTGGAAATCTATAAGCATATAATCTTAATCCGGTTAACTAGGATTCTGGCACATGAGGCACTAATCAATAATCATCAATATCTATAATGTCTCTAACATGGAACAAAATGTTACTTCTCCATGAAGAATACTAAAGAAATTGTTGTGGTCAAGACCGTTGTTCAATAAAAATTAAGAACTTCTTCTGCCATTGTCACTTTATTCAACTCTTTCAACTTTTCTGGTTTGTATGAAATTTTCTCATTCCATGATCATCTGTAAGATATTATGACTTCTCTTATTTAGTTCATGGGTCGTAAATATTTTTTCTTTAAACAAAATAATAGTTCTCTCAAACTCCATAAGCTGTTAGGTTCTTTGCACTGCAGATATTGAAGATAGGGGTTTTCCCCTTTTTGGCTGTTATCTGAAACTTTTAACACCTGCATTGCATAAATTTGTTAAAAGGTTCATCTACAGAAGTAATGGTTCCTTTGACTAAATATTCATTCTACTTGAAATTTATACTCTGATATTACTATCTTAATGTATATTATCAAATGAAACAGATGCAAATCCAGCTACACTCGAGGGGAAACTACCGAGACTCCCTACATCACTTTCTGAATCTTTAGAAGCTCTTAAGAAGGACAATGTCTTGAGGAAGATGATTGGCGAAAAGCTTTTTGTGGCTATAAAAGGAGTTCGAAAGGTAAGTATCAACCATGTTCTTTAAAAAGTGATGTTAGAAAAATTGAATTCATGAATTTATGCATGGCTGAGCCTGAATACATATATGCAGGCCGAAATTGACTTCTACTCGAAGAATAAGGATGCATACAAGCAGCTTATACACCGTTATTAAGCCGATGAATTGTCACTCTTCTGTTAGGCAAACTCTATGATCCCTATGCTTGGTTATGTCCAATGTGCTTTTAGAGGAAGTGGGGTGTGCCAATTATGAGGAAATAAATAATGCCCATAGGCCCTTGATAATATCATCATTAATTATCTCGAGAGGAAGATGTTGCCTACTTCTATATTTATGTAACATTTTGTACTATAATAAATATCTTCTCTTTTACCAGAGAAAGATGTATACTTTATCTGAGTGCTTTTTGGTTTATTGTCAATGCCATGAGGTTTTTTTTTTATTTTTAATCATAGAGATTATAGCAACGAATGGTTGGTGACGTGAAAATTTGTGTTTTTGTACTATATTTTATACGAAAATTATGTCACAATTCATGAAGATACAAACAATATAAAATTTTTTTTTTATTTTTGTTAAACTTTTATGTGATTTTTTTGTTAAAATTTTAAATTATTATTTTTTATTATATTGCTATCATGTCATTTTGTCATGTTTTAAATTAACAAATCATGTTTTTGGTTTTTTAATTTTCTCATTTTGAAGAGGGAGAGTTTATATATTTTTAAACATAAGATGTCATTTTATTAAGGTATTTAAATAAAGAAGAAAACAGTGCAAAAATAACATCCTTTCTGTCCAGAAGGTGAGGAATGGTTTCCGATCATCTTTCAACAACCTAAATCAATTTGATCCTCTCAACTCCCTTCTATACGGAAAATAGTTTGAACCAAAAACCTCAAATGTAGCTCTTTTACATGCAACTTGCCAAATTTGGCATGCCAAATATACCCATAATCTAGTGCTATATATGTTACCTTTAACACTGACAAAAATTAAGCAGGGACATAAAAAAACATTGCCAATTACTACCTATTGCTAAAGCAAACCATGGCATTGTCTGTCAAGCCTCTCTCTGCAACAACAGCATTCTTGGTTTTAGCTGTTGTGGTATTATTATTACTGCCTGAGTGCCATGCAGAAGAGCTACTTGAAAAGACAAGTTCTATTCACCATGCAGTAAGAAGAGTTGGTGGTCTTGTAGTTTCTCCTAAAATTAGGCACGGGAGACGACCACCATTCAAGCCTGGCCCATGGAACCAGGCTCATGCTACCTTTTACGAAGGTGGCTCAGGGACATTTGGTATGAACAGTGCTGGTTTACGTACCTTTACAAAGTAATCTGTTTTTCTTGTATGCTAAAGCTTCCCATTCTTTGTTTTGATGGGTGATTAATCTTTTATGAATGCGTAGGGGGGGCCTGTGGCTATGAGGATGTAGAGAAAATGGGGTACGGTTTAAACACAGCAGCGTTGAGCAACGCTTTGTTCAACAAGGGCCAGAAATGTGGTGCTTGCTTTGAGATCAAATGTATTGATTCCCCTGAATGGTGCAAACCAGGGCAGCCTTCTTTGATCGTGACAGCCACAGATAATTGTCCACCTAATTACAATCTTCCCAGCGACAATGGAGGATGGTGCAATGAACCCCGCCAGCATTTCGACATAGCCAAGCCAGCTTTCCTTCAAATTGCTGAGTACAAAGGCGGCATTATCCCTGTACAATATCGGAGGTAATTAATTTTCTTCCTTTTAGACTATCTCAATGCGTCAATGTAGCATATCGGAATTTTCAAAAGGATAAAAATTAAGAGTAAATTGCATTACAGGGTGCCATGCAAGAAGCAAGGAGGTATTCGGTTCACGATAACAGGCAACCCTTACTTCAACCTGGTGTTAGTGTCGAACGTGGGAGGAGCTGGGGATGTCATAAGCGTTCAAGTGAAGGGTCATGACAAGGTGAGATGGACAACAATGACGAGAAACTGGGGTCAGAAATGGCAGACCAACACCATGTTAGTTGGGGAAGAACTTACCTTCCGAGTTAGAACAAGCGATGGCAAAACTTCTACCTCATGGCATGTCGTCCCCAAGAACTGGCAATTCGGTCAGACTTTTGAGAGTGGCAAAAACTTCAGAGGATGGCCATGAAACCAAAGATTCAAAGGAATATGCTATTGTAAAACAATATTTTTGGTTATTATGTATATGATTATATCAGTATGTACAATAACGCATGAAAAAAGAAAAGAAAAATAAATATCTTCTATCTTTTTATAACACGATCAAATTATCTTACATCAATTTTTTTTTTTGACAATTTTAAATATCCTAATGTTGCTAAAACCAAAAGATATATATATATATATATACACATACATACATACATATAAATATATATAATGAGAGAGAATTAACTTATACAGTATAAAATTAAAAAAGTTTTACATAGTAATCATTAATTTGAATAAATTCAATGGATAAGATTAAATTATTTTTTTTAATTTTATTTGTTTCTCTCATTTTTTGATTTATTAAAATTAATAATTAAAAAAATGTATAAAATTTTTTATGTATAAATTGATCTTCTCTCTGTCTTTATACATATAAACTCAAAGACATACCAAAATAACTTTTATGATTTTATAATTTTGATAAAAAATTATTCGTTACGATAGATATGAATCAAATAAATTAAAGGTGACATCTATTATGTTTGAAATCTAAATTTTAATGTTTTTTAAAAAAAATTTCCTATTCTCAAGGTAGACTTTTTTTTTAATAAAAAAAAATTCATTGGATAAACATGATTGTATTATAGACACTGTAAAAAAAAAAAAATTCCTTTGTAATATTCTTTCCGGCCCATACATCCGTGCAACCTAGTCATGAGAATTTCAACATTTCACTTCGACGATGAATTGTGTTCATATGTTACAGACAGTTGAGGCAAATAATAGAACTTAAAAAAATACGAAAAGGAAGATGCTTCTTACCTAAAGCAGGATGAAGCTTATCTCGGAAAGCGCTATAAATAGAGAATAAAATTATTGTCCATCTTGGGGATCATTTCCAAACATGCATATCAGTTGATTTATTTTGTTTCTTCTTTTTTCATTTGTCTGTTTTGGTCTCTGATCTTGCTTCCAGACGTTTTGGCTGCGGTGATCAAATCTCTAACAACTTCGACTTTGCATCTTGGAATAGAGCATCCGATCTTGAAGCCATCAATTGCTGAAATCATAGGACAGGCAAAGGTGGAAAATAACTTTTAGCTTTTGCTGTTAGAAATTTGATTGAAAATATTCAAAAAGCCAGTTACAAACCTTTAGATGATCCATTGCTGCAAGATTGAAACCAAGAGTATCTTTGCATTCCTGGGAAATTCAAAGGTTATGTCATTGAAATAACCTTAAATCCAATACTAAGAAATTAAAATATATATATATATAAATCATTAAGGGCTACTACTTGCAGAACTGAATTTTTTTTAGCAAGGGAATGTGGGTTCAAAACACGCATAAATCCAAAGTACATATTTACATGACTCTTGCATAAATAATATCCTTGGGTACAGTCAACACTAGTCTGGCAGATGGGGTACTAATTAACTGGCTATGATGTGTCTGCAACAACACTGTAACAATCCTGCAGACCAGCTCAACCTGTGCATACAGCATATATTGTAATAATAAAAACTAAAATTTGAGTGCTCAAATGCATAAAAGATATGCTTTCCTAAAATCAAAAGCCTCGATACGAAAACCTTAAAATAAATTCCCCACTAAAAGTGTGTGTGTGTGTGACAGATTCTCAGAGAGAGAGAAGGAATGCATGGTGAGCATGCCACACATCTATTTACTAAAAAAATCCAAGCATAAGCACATCTGTAAGTACAGATAGGCCACCTTGTCAGGATTTGAAGTCCAGTCCTTCAGAGCAGCTTCAGAACACCAGAGAATGGTAATGCCTGGGTAGAAAATCACTTTGAGTCAGATATAAAGATAAAAAAATTGACATGCTCTTATTCGTAACGAATGCCACATGGCAATGTAGCATCATCCAGTAAAATCCAGAAGAGAAAAGTTCAATTTAACTACTAGTCCTAGGCAAAAAAAGATGGTCCTATCTGTCATATGATATTTCTACTTTCATATTTTGAGTAGACAACTCTCCATCATTCCTAATTTCAGCAACAGTTACATTTAACATAGACTCACCATTCGCTAAGTCATGCCTTACTTGTAAAATCTAAGTTCAAGATCTACTGAACCAGTGACCAAGGATCTTTCATTGGGGTCAACATCAATAGACCAAATTTCACTGTCATGGCCACAAACTATTTGCATATGATGCTGCATTTCAAGATCCCACACTCTCAAAAATTTATCCTTGGAAGGCGAAAAGGACCAGTCTCACCAACCACATCCCATAATATAACATCATTGTCTTTAATTCCAGAAGCAAGCAGAGATCCAACCTTATTGTACCTTAAAAGAGTCACAGCACCTTTATGTCCATTCAATGTACTCTCACAAGTCGCAGCGTCCTTTATGACGTCCCAAATCCTTATACTACCATCTGCATAATCACTTGTTACCTGCATTTTAAAACCCATTTTCATTTCTTCATGCCTATTTTCATAAAATCACTAAAAATTCACCATTCCAAAACAATGTAAAAAATTTTAGGACTCTGTTTGGTTGTTACTTTCACAATTTACATTTTATAAAAGTTCCTAATCTAATCGATATCTTACATTTTTATTATTTCATATCCAAACGAAACTCTAAGATTTTGCTTCCGCCGGCCCTACTGCTGCATTGTTATGGCGGTTGGGATTCTATTTTAACTCTTGAAGTTTAACGGTTTCAAGGGTTTAAGCAAGGTGTCTCCCTCAAAATTTTTTCTGTATTCTTTTTTGTGTGTTTTACTTTGATTTATAAATGGGCTGATTTGAATCCCAACCGAATTAAAAAAACCCCATTTAGTTCGGGCTTCGATTTGAGGGCCAACCCAATATGTTCCTATTTCAGAATTACACAAATTTCTTTCTTACATATAAAACTAGCATTGAGGGGTGAAGGAATAAAGGATGCGATACAGTCTGCCAGCCTAAGAAGAATGGAGGTTTGGGCATCCGCAAGAGCAGCGTTATGACCAATGCCCTACTTGCAAAGCTTGGATGGATGGAAGCTTATGGTCTTTGGTCTCAGGTTTTACAGTCTAATTATCTTAAAGGTAATGAGTTTATTCACGCAATTAAGAAGCCACGAGTTCATCCTAAGTTTAAATTAGGTGATTCATTTAATTATTTTTAAGAAATAGAACTTAATAAATTTAGGATTCAATTTTCAGTATCAATAATCTTTTTATCTCCGGCTATAACGTTTTTTGTATATAAAAAAAAAAAAATTAAGCCATGAGGTTCTTATACATGGAGGAGTTTGTTGAGTAGCAAGGGTGTGGTTGCAAATCGTTGTACTAAGCTTGTTAATAATGGATGTTGAACTTCTTTTTGGTATGATAATTTGATTATTACCCAATTGCAATGAAAAATCATTTGAGCAAAATTACATAAAAAGGATAATTTAAACGAAATTTTGAATCGGTTTTACCATTTGACTTAATCAAGTAAGATTTTATTCTTTTACAAAAAAAAAAAAAAAAAAAAAAAAAAAACTTCGAATTAAAATTTGTAAATTTTAAAAGAAAAAAACAACAAAAGTATAAAGAAAATGAGGTTTGGAATATGTAGACTTAAAAAACAATAAACAAGGAAGAAAGAGGGGCGGAAAGAAAAGGTAGAGTGCTTAAAAAGAGGGAAATTTGGTGGCCACTTCGGACCTTAATTTATTAATTTGACTTTGATAATTGTCATCCTCCACTTTTTAACAAACACTAGTTAATCTTATCAAGGTTTTTGTACTAATCCACATATAGATACAGTTTTTTTTTTTTTAAAACGAGTCGTCAACAAATGGATCATCCTGATCATGCAACCTAGTCGAACTTCCAAAGCATTGCCACGCAACTCCACCATACATGGAAGGAATATATATATATATATATATATATGTATGTATATGGGTCATGGAAAATGACTAACAGATATTTTAATCACAAGTCAGTAAGTTGGTAAGGTTTTTTTTTTAATTTTTTATTTTTGGCAATACAATGGGAAACTAAACCGGAGAGAGCATATATTAATCATGAATGCATAGATATAGTTAGGACAAGAATTCATGTAGTATACATTAATGTTGATCGAAAAGAAGGGTTTGAAGATGACTTCTAAATTTGATATCTGTTCGAGTTATACCAGCAATTAGTAAGCACTAATCACGCATGGGGAAAAAGCAGTATAAAGACTTAGTTTTGTTGGACGATGTCAACATCATCAGACAAAATGTGACTTCCCTCGCTAGGCCTTTTATCTATTTCAAAATATGCTTTCTTGTATATCATCTTCAACAACACAGACTTTCTCACGTTCTCTCCTTTCTTTCTCTCAGTCACGGCACTGTTGCTTTTGATGTGATCCCGATTTAATTAGTCCTACCAAAAGATTTCTTTGAACAAAAAAAACAGCACAAATTAAGTTGGCTTAGTTACATGATTAACTTCGTTGACTCAAAGGGTAAAAAAGTTTTTTTTTTTATCTGTCTTGATTCGAATTTATTAAAAATTATAAAAAGATAATTTTTCATGAATTTATTATATTATATAAATAAATTTAATCAATTCAAAAAATAGTATATAGTAAAGCCTAAAAAACTCTTACCTCTAAAAAAGCTTCTTAGTTGTAAACTTCAAGATTGGTCTCTAGTTAAATTGCAGGATAGGTAGCTTATTAGATCAAGTGAATAGTTATATCAGACACGCCACATGCATGATGCATGGGCAGGCATCATATCAGCCTTGAAGTCAGTATGATAGATATCGAGTGATAATTGGTAATTGGGAAAGGCTAAGAGCCAGGCACTGTGGAGTGAGGCCTCCACCAGCATGTTTAATGATCATTTATGCTTGCTGATGACAACTGTAAAGACTCCATATCAGTTGGTGGGCCATATCCATAAATGGCTTCATGATTTTCCTTTGTTCATTCAAACAAGCTATATAAGGATAGTCCACTTCATTTTCACCAA